TAAGATAGAAGAGAGGAGAGAAAATATAAGATAGAAGAGAGGAGAGAAAATATAAGATAGAAGAGAGGAGAGAAAATATAAGATAGAAGAGAGGAGAGAAGATATAAGATAGAAGAGAGGAGAGAAAATATAAGATAGAAGAGAGGAGAGAAAATATAAGATAGAAGAGAGGAGAGAAGATATAAGATAGAAGATAGGAGAGAAAATATAAGATAGAAGATAGGAGAGAAAATATAAGATAGAAGATAGGAGAGGAGGAGAAAGAGAGTAAATGGAAGAGTTGAGAGTGGAGGAGAGAGGTAATGACGACGGGAGGCCAGGAGAGGTGAATTGTTGATGGTAGAAGCAAGAGGAATAGATAATTGGAAGGGATAAGGGAGGTAGATTACTGGAGGGGAAGGTGGGTTAGATTACTGGAAGGGGTAAGAGCGACAGATTGATAAAGGACGGGGCAAGAGGGATAGATTGATAAAGGACGAAGCAAAAGAGATAGTTATTCATCGGTTGGAAACACTGCCCCTGACACCATTATCATTCACTTGTCACTGTCATGAGTGATTCACTTCCATTTTACCTAACCACTAAGTAAAACTACTCAAAGAATTACATATTTGAAAACTTTCATTATTCGTTCCATCTCAGCAAATTTAATCGAGAGGAAATAGCCCCATTATTTATGCCGAAATATACTAACCTCCGGGTTATAACGATGTTTCACGAAGTATGGGGAGAGGCGCCCCCTTCCGGAGGCTCTTACCCAAGACACAAACTTCACTTTGGTTTGTTTGCAAAGCACGAGAACTGCCAGGTTAGTCAGCTCCAACTTTCAACCTATTATTATTTTTCACTATTTACTAGTCGTAACCAATTTCAATTCACTCTTATTACAATCATTCACGAGGCAAGTAATACTATTTAAAGAATTTTCCACATTCTGCAATGGATATAAATTCTCTGGAAAATGTACAAAGGAGGATGACAAAGATGATCCCATGTATCAGAAACCTTCCCTATGAGGATAGACTAAGGGCCCTGAAACTGCACTCTCTAGAAAGACGTAGAATTAGGGGGGATATGATTGAGGTTTATAAGTGGAAGACAGGAATAAATAAAGGGGATGTAAATAGTGTGCTGAAAATATCTAGCCTAGACAGGACTCGCAGCAATGGTTTTAAGTTGGAAAAATTCAGATTCAGGAGGGATATAGGAAAGTACTGGTTTGGTAATAGAGTTGTGGATGAGTGGAACAAACTCCCAAGTACCGTTATAGAGGCCAGAACGTTGTGTAGCTTTAAAAATAGGTTGGATAAATACATGAGTAGATGTGGGTGGGTGTGAGTTAGACCTGATAGCTTGTGCTAACAGGTCGGTTGCCGTGTTCCTCCCTTAAGTCAGTGTGACCTGACCTGACTAGGTTGGGTGCATTGGCTTAAGCCGGTAGGGACTTGGACCTGCCTCGCATGGGCCAGTAGGCCTTCTGCAGTGTTCCTTCGTTCTTATGTTCTTATGTTCTTATATCCATTCCTTGCCATCGACTGTCACCAAGCAATCCATATCCATTCCTTGCCATCGACTGTCACCAAGCAATCCATATCCATTCCTTGCCATCGACTGTCACCAAGCAATCCCTATCCATTCCTTGCCATCAACTGTCACCAAGCAATCCATATTCATTCCTTGCCATCGACTGTCACCAAGCAATCCATATCCATTCCTTGCCATCAACTGTCACCAAGCAATCCATATCCATTTCTTGCCATCGACTGTTACCAAACTTTGACGAAAAGGGAAAATATCCCATTATTTATGCACAAAGAAACTTTGTTCTTTAGTCAAATAAGCACCTTGTAGGGTGACACTCTTCCCAAAGAAGAGGCCCCTATCCCTAGGAACAAACCACTTAAACCTTACCATTGCGTTATGGTGACCCAGCGTCCAAGGTAGGGGGTGATGGATGCCTGATGGAGGAGGGGAGCTAAAGGAAAGGAGGAATGGACGTTTGATGCGTGGGTTGATTAATCTTAAGAGGTTGACGACTGATGAAAATAGAAGAATGAAGGGTGGATGGCTGATGGTGAGGCCCGGAGGTGGATGACTGATGGTGAGGCCCGGAGGTGGATGGCTGATGGTGAGGCCCGGAGAGGTGGATGGCTGATGGTGAGGCCCGGAGAGGTGGATGGCTGATGGTGAGGCCCGGAGAGGTGGATGGCTGATGGTGAGGCCCGGAGAGGTGGATGGCTGATGGTGGAGGCCGGAGAGGTGGATGGCTGATGGTGAGGCCCGGAGAGGTGGATGGCTGATGGTGAGGCCCGGAGAGGTGGATGGCTGATGGTGGGGCCCGGAGAGGTGGATGGCTGATGGTGAGGCCCGGAGGTGGATGGCTGATGGTGAGGCCCGGAGGTGGATGGCTGATGGTGAGGCCCGGAGGTGGATGGCTGATGGTGAGGCCCTGAGAGGTGGATGGCTGATGGTGAGGCCCTGAGAGGTGGATGGCTGATGGTGAGGCCCTGAGAGGTAGATGGCTGATGGTGAGGCCCTGAGAGGTGGATGGCTGATGGTGAGGCCCTGAGAGGTGGATGGCTGATGGTGAGGCCCGGAGAGGTGGATGGCTGATGGTGAGGCCCGGAGAGGTGGATGGCTGATGGTGAGGCCCGGAGAGGTGGATGGCTGATGGTGAGGCCCGGAGAGGTGGATGGCTGATGGTGAAACCCGGAGAGATGGACGACTGATGGTGAGGCTCGGAGAGGTGGATGACTGATGGTGAGGCCCGGAGAGGTGGATGGCTGATGGTGAGGTGGATGGCTGATGGTGAGGCAGATGGCTGATGGTGAGGCAGATGGCTGATGGTGAGGCCCGGAGAGGTGGATGGCTGATGGTGAGGCCCGGAGAGGTGGATGACTGATGGAGAGGCCCGGAGAGATGGATGACTGATGGAGAGGCCCGGAGAGATGGATGACTGATGGAGAGGCCCGGAGAGATGGATGACTGATGGAGAGGCCCGGAGAGATGGATGACTGATGGAGAGGCCCGGAGAGATGGATGACTGATGGAGAGGCCCGGAGAGATGGATGAATGACTGAGGAGTGTTGGCAGGAAGACGGCAGGTGGGTGGAGGGGGGCAAAAGAGGGGGAAAGCATGGGGTAAGAGGTGGGGGGAATAGTAATAGGAGCGCGGGGGGGGACGGGATGATGGTGAAGGAATGGAGGGGATGGTGGTGGCATGCAGCAGTGGTGGTGGTGGTGGTGGTGTGGGATTGAAGGAAGAGTAATTCATGGGGGAGCGCTAAACCCGTAGGAGGGGTCATACAGCACCCTTGGGAATTGGAGGCAATTTGGTTCAAGGGAGGGAACTCCGGTTCATCGAGAACCTTTCACTAACTTCTCCCTAGAAAGGTAGACGGGGGAGGGAAAGGGGGAGTTGGGAAGGGTGAGGGAGTGGTGCCAGGTTAAGGGGGGGGGGGCAAGATAGGTCCGAGACGGTAGGAAGAGAGAAGAGATGGGTGATGGAGAGAGGTAAAAGACCTAGTACAAATGGTCCGGAAAGCAGGAGGGAACAGAGGAAGATAGTATGAAGGAAAGGAGACGGTATAGGTGAGGTTGGTATGGGTGTGTTAGAGTCATCATGCGTGCTGAGGGAGAGGGTGGGAGGCCGGGGGAGGTGTGGGAGAGCAAGTGGTCGGGGGGGATTAACTCGACAAGGCTACCATGGTGAGGGAAAAATGAAAGACCTGGGAGATGTAGAAGGGGGGAGGGGGGAATGGGGATGAGGGACGGACAAGGCAAGGATGGGGTAATGGCGGACAAATGAAAGGGGTAAGTGGCAGGCGAATGGAATAAGGGTGGATACAGGTCAGACAGAAGTGGGGAAGGTGTAGAAATGAGAAAGGGGCAGACATAGGCAGGTAGACATGCGTTAAGACAGTATAAATGTTAGTGCAACATAACGGTAGCAGCTAGGCAGTGATGTCACTATTGCAACATCACGACAAATATTCCAAGTAGGCCGTTCGAGAAACAAAAAAAAATACCCCCAGCATGGCGCCCCCACGTCTTCAACAGCCAGATCTAAGGGAGGGTTCAGTACTATAACAGACACTAACATTCAACTTCTCCTAAAATAAGGTCAAAATGGCTACCGGAACAGACTAGAACAATGACTGCTGGTATTCGAGTGTCACAATCTGACCTAATATCCATACTCGTGAGACAAATTCCTCGCTTAATGTTTGTTATAGCTCGCTTACTAATTAAGTTATTAGCGCTTTCAATTTAATATAAATACTAAATCTAAATAATTAAGAGAAAGCGGTAAGGTTGTCAGCCATGAGGTTCCCACGAGGGGGAGGGGAGGGGGACTGGGAGGCGGCAGCGGCGCCGCCATGAACGCCAAGCAGATATCTTCACTCGACCAATGACCGTTCAAATTTTAACTAATCCGGCTACTTATTCTCCCCAGTATAGCTCTAGCATTGTTTCTGGTTTTGTCACATTAAAACACTTCACATTGTGTCGGTCCCTCCCCCGCCTGTCACTTGTGCTGCCCCCGGGTCGTTGTCTGTGTAGTCGTCTCCGAGGGATGTGTCGCAGCCCCGGTGACGTCATCGTCGTCTCCTGCCTTCACGCAGGGCTGCCAACCCAGCCAGACAGCACTCAATTCTGCCAACCCTGCCAATCTTTACCAATTCAGAAATTTAATATAAGAAGTTAAAGTTCTACAACAGCCATAAAAGATACAGCTGATGGTTGGTAGGCCTGACAGTGTTGCTTCACTTCAGCCGCAGGTTTAACGTCATTAACATCCGGGAGAACTATATATTATATATATATAAATACATTATACATATAATATATATGTATATTATATATATACGTATATACTACTTAACGAGACCAAACCTGTTTGGTGTACACTAGAAGGGGAGAAAACTGCACGAATCACAGTGGAAGGGGGGCCATTACGACGCGTCCCTGCCTGCCTGCTTCTCCGGCGAATACTTTACCTTAAAATGAATTGCCGTTAGTAAATCTGGGGAAATGAAAATAGTATGAGTTGACTAGCCTATGTCAATATATGAAATAGGAATATCAACTCTAAACGGAGAAATATGGGAGGGCCAAGTCTTGTGTCGTGGCCCACACGTGCTACTCCTGTGGTGGGTGACGAGCGAGTGACGCCGCCACCACCACGGGGACCACACCACTGACGTCACTCTCTCTCTCACTTAACTTCGCTCATCCTCAGTAACTTACGCTCAAGTAACATCCTCAGACCTGTTATTCCCTATGTGCAATAATAAGATATTTGATATATTTATATACCTGAGGTTGAGGTGTTGAGGCTAGCGCGTTCTATCTCACTAATTTCTAACTTTATCTTACATTGACAATATTTTATGATTTTTAATCATTCAAAATAAACATCACATACATTAAACACATACAAATTGTCTCAAAAATGTACTTAAATATTAAAAAAAAGCTGCACATTTTCAGTTTAAAATCAAAATAAGACACAATATTGACGGTTGGCTGTTGTGAAAGTTCCCACAGCAGACATGAACCCCGTCCTGTCTTGGCAAACTCTTCTCTTATTTACATTATATATAATAAATATTGAGCGAGGCAGTGTGGCTAATGTGTGGGTAACTGGGTCAGGTAATCACCGACGGGTGTGGCCAGTAATTGCACCAGTAACCACCAGTTATATACTAAAATATTACATAAAGATACAAACTTTATGTTCCAAGCAGGACAGTTATTTCTTTGTTCTCCCTCGCATGTTCTCTCATGTCAACAATCTTTATTTATCATTATTCATGGTGTGGTTTGTTTGCAACTGTGCCATTACGATATCGTGAGTCATATAGTATATATAGTGCAGTTATAAAGAGAGTTTGCGGTCTTAACAACCAGTGTTTGCTAAATATTAATATTAGATAAATTATTAATGTTAGATAATTATTAATTACTAACTACTAGAACAAGGTCTGGCCTCCCCAACGTTGTTTACAAGTTTAATACGTGGATTATAGAGTCAGGTTGATAAGAAACGTTTTGCCTACACAGCAGACTTCTTCAGTCCAGTACAGAAGAGTTAGAAGAAGCAGTACAGATAAGAACATAAGAAAGAAGGAACACTGCAGCAGGCCTACTGGCCCATGCGAGGCAGGTCCAAGTCTCCTACCGGCTTAAGCCAATACACCCAACCTAGTCAGGTCAGGTCACATTGACTTAAGGGAGGAACACGGCAACCGACCTGGTAGTACAAGCTAATCATGTCCAACTCACACTCACCCACATCCACTCATGTATTTATCCAACCTATTTTTAAAGCTACACAACGTTCTGGCCTCTATAACTGTACTTGGGAGTTTGTTCCACTCATCCACAACTCTATTACCAAACCAGTGCTTTCCTATATCCTTCCTGAATCTGAACTTTTCCAACTTAAAACCATTGCTGCGAGTCCTGTCTAGGCTAGATATTTTCAGCACACTATTTACATCCCCTTTATTTATTTCTCTCTTCCATTTATACACCTCAATCATATCCCCCCTAATTCTACATCTTTCTAGAGAGTGTGAAGACGATGTTATCAGTCATCAAGGTCTGTGGTTCCCTGTGGCGACCCCGTGGCCTGGATGGCAAAGTTCTCGCTTCACACACGGTGCTCCCGGGTTCTATTCCCGGTGGGGTAGAAACATTGCTTACACCTGTTGTCATGTTCATCTAGCAGCAAGTAGGTACCTGGGTGTTAGTGGACTGGAGTGGGTGGTATCCTAGGAGACAGGATTGAGGACCACAATGGAAATAAGACAGACAGTCCTGGATGACGCACTGACTTTCTTGGGTTATCCTGGGTCGCTAACCCTCCAGGTGTGATGGTTTAGAAAACCGACAAGATGAACATTGAGACATTTATGCAACATATGGGAAACTTTATTCAGGACACGTTTAGCCACACAGTGGCTTCATCAGTCCAATACAAAGCAGAAAGGTGTAAGGAGAGGAGGAGTTTGAGGTAATCAGTCCCTCAACCTGGAGTCGATGTGTTCAGTCCATCATTCTTGTAGAATGTACAACATAGGGCCGTAGACGTGGCTTATATACTGTAGTCAGGTGAGGCGAAGCAGGAGGAGGCGGCATCATCAAGATTCCCATAAGTTGCAAATTCCAATGTTCATCTTTCGGTTTTCAAACCCAATCATCATACTGGAGGGTTAGCGACCTGGAGTTTACCTGGATTTTTTACCGGGAGAAGGTTTCCGGGGGGTCAACGCCCCTGGCCCCGGGTCTTGACCAGCCCTCCTGGGGGGAACAGACCCGATCAACCGGGGCTTTGCTGCTGGCTGCACCAAACAACGCACCCACGCCCGGCTGGTCAGAACCGATTTTAGGTGCTTTCCAGTGCCATTTGAAGACTGCCAGGGGTCTGTTTGGAAAACCCCCCTTTTGTATGCTGGGGGGCATTGAACATCTGGGCCCATGACATTTAATTTTATGATCCTTTTTAAAGGCTAGTGACACCCCCCTTTTTATTGGGGGGATGTTGCATGTCTGCCAAGTCTTTTGCTTTCGCAGTGATATTTTTGGTGGAAGTTCGGTACTAGTCCCCTAGGTTTTCCAGGTGTAAATAATCAGTACCCCTCCCCCCCCTTCCAGGGAATACAGGTTCAGGAACCTCAAGCGCTCTCAGTAATTGAGGTGTTTTATCTCCGTTATGCGCGCCGTGAAGGTTCTCTGTACATATTCTAGGTCAGCAATTTCACCTGCCTTGAAAGGTGCTGTTAGTGTGCAGCAATATTCCAGCCTAGATAGAACAAGTGAATTGAAGAGTGTCATCATGGGCTTGGCCTCCCTAGTTTTGAAGGTTCTCATTATCCATCCTGTCATTTTTCTAGCAGATGCGATTGATACAATGTTATGGTCCTTGAAGGTGAGATCCTCCGACATGATCACTCCCAGGTCTTTGACGTTGGTGTTTCGCTCTATTTTGTGGCCCAGGATAACCCAAGAAAGTCAGTGCGTCATCCAGGACTGTCTTATTTCCATTGTGGTCCTCAATCCTGTCTCCCAGGGAGCCACCCAGGCCTGGTCATGGACCGGGCCGCGGGGGCGTTGATCCCCGGAATAACCTCCAGGTAACCTCCAGGTAACTCCAGTCCACTAACACCCAGGTACCTACTTGCTGCTATGTAAAGTAAAAGGACACAAGTGCAACTAATGTGACATTTATTGTGGCAACGTTTCGCTCTCCAGGAGCTTTATCAAGCCTGGAGAGCGAAACGTTGCCACAATAAATGTCACATTAGTTGCACTTGTGTCCTTTTACTTTACATATTGTCGGTAATTCTACCAACTTTATTACTTGCTGCTAGATGAACATGACAACCATTTATCACTACTGTCAGACACTGCATCATCATGGGATCTTGATACAAAGAATTCTTCAACACTTGTCCAACCTTAGGACGAAGACCTACTTCGACTAGTGGATGGTACCACTATGACCCCGCCTCCTCCTGCTTCACCTCACCTCACTACAGTATATAAGCCACGTCTACGGCCCTATGTTGTACATTCTACAAGATTGATGGACTGAACACATCGACTCCAGGCTGAGGGACTGATTACCTCAAACTCCTCCACTCCTTACACCTTTCTGCTTTGTATTGGACTGATGAAGGGGGACCAACCATTATTTTAGCTCGCCCAGCGCGAACGAAAAAAATATTCGAAAAAAAATCACAAATTGAGTTAATCATATAGAAAAATAGTTTAACTCTCTGGCAACACACTGGTACAAGACTCATTGTTCTACGACATTCCTACAAGGAATTATGGTCATTTAAAACACCTAGGGTGACGTCACCACCCGCAGCAGGTCTGCTCACCTGTTGTCAATTTTCATGTTTTTTTCCGATTTTTTTCGTGTATTTATTGTATTATTCTTTCTAATATAATAATTGACGATTTGGCATCAAAAGAAAATGGGTGGGACTTATACGTAGACTTACAGCCAATCAGGAACCTTCTAGGAACATCTTGCTGACGTTAGCAGAAATTTCAGTCTCGGGATAGCCGGGAAATATGCTTCAATATAACGCTATTATCGCTTCTACGGCTTATTTATCTATCACAATTGATCTAATATGACATAATAAACAATATAAATAACAAAGAAATATGGTAAATACTCCAGAATGAATAATATATGGCATATTCTTCGAGCGCTCCCTCTGGAATATAATATTCCTTAGCTAGGGATGGGCTTGCCATTCTCCTATCACCTCCAGGGTCCTTATATTAAAGAAAACGGAATGTAACTATGATATACACTCGTAATGCAGTATAAAACTGAGAAAAATGCTATTTTCTCGAAAAAAAAAAAATCGGTGGTCCGGCTGTTTCGAGGATTATCTCGGAAGTAAGTTATTCACATATATATTGCCATACTGTCGTTAATAATAATAGGAATGCAATGAAATTCACAAAGAACATAAAGGAAAGATTGTTTTACAAGCTAGTGATTATCATTTTGAGATATCATAATGTGTTTATTATTTTTTGAGGGCAAAAGTAAGAAATTTGGCTGAATGTCAAAACCATACAAACTTTATTTTTTTTTTTTTAAGAATGAAGAGAGGATAAATTACAGTAAAGTTCGCCATGATAAGTACAGTTTAGCATTGTTTTATGCGTAGATAATGCCAAAACAGCTTCTCCAAGTCCCACTTCGACAGTACCTTGCAGTATGTATGATTATTAGTAAATAATTTTTTTCTCATTTTTTTGAGCTATCTTATTGAAACTTGGTCACATTAAAATGGAAAGGGGCTTCTTTACGTACAAAAAAAAAAAAATGAAAGAAATCGAACAAAAAAAATAAAGAATTTCAGGCAAATTGGTTAGTTCCCCCTGAAGCCACTGTGTGGTGAAACGTTTTCTGAATAAAGATTCCCATATGTTGCGCAAGTGTCTCAATGTTTAACCCTCCTGGAGTTTACCTGGAGAGAGTTCCGGGGGTCAACGCCCCCGCGGCCCGGTCTGTGACCAGGCCTCATGGTGGATCAGAGCCTGATCAACCAGGCTATTGCTGCTGGCTGCACGCAAACCAACGTACGAGCCACAGCCCGGCTGGTCAGGAACCGACTTTAGGTGCTTGTCCAGTGCCAGCTTGAAGACTGCCAGAGGTCTG